GCCGCATAGTGGGGGTCAGCTGCTACAAACCAGGGCTTTTTTCCCCCAAAGGGCCAGTGGCGAAGTGTTTCCCAGCACACCGCCGGGAAGACCCAGGAGGTCCCCTCTTCTCAACCCGGGTCTCGTTCCCAGGGATCGTCCTGCCCGCAGCATGCCTGGATGGGCTTCTAACCCACAGAAAGTGCTTCCCCACGTGCAGGGCAGCAAGAGGTTCCAAACACAAGAAAATGTCCTGGGGCTGCCCTTCCGGTTAAAAAAGGAAACCAACCAGGATGGAAAACACACAAAATCTAGATGATACAGGAGTTAAACGGTGCGTTCAGTTTAAAGTGGTAACGAGTGGAAACTGGAATTGGACTGGGACTTGCGGGAAGTGGGGCCCAGTGAACGGTTTCTGGGAGTGGCTAGTTCCTCCCCATTTTCTCTGACTCTGTCCTTATTTCCTCTCTGACTTTGAATTCACTTTCTGAGCGAGGCGGGGCTGGTGGCCACGCGGGGAATCACAGAGCCTGGCTCTCACTCTCGAAGCAAGTCTGTGCCTTTTCTTCCAAAACAGGTGCATAGGAGCCGTTTGCCTGAGACGTGCAGCCCCGGGAAATGGGCCCTCGGGGGCGTGTGAGGTGCACTGGGCACCGTGGCCACTCGCCGAGACACGACTCCTTCCCTAGCAGCTAAGGCCTCGTTCGCGGCGGGAGGCTGCACAGTCCGCCCTGAAGGGACCTCCTGCAGGAGGCAAAGGCTCCACGGGACAGGCACCTTGGGAGGGAGGACACACCGAGAAGCTGCAGGACAGCAAGGCCCCGCGCCCGCCGTCCAGGGTCTGTGTTCGCGGCGGCGGGCACAGGTCTCACCATCACCCCTTTTGGTGGGGGGAGGGTAGGGCCGGCAGTGGTCCAGGGCCATTTCACTGGGAGGTGGGGACACGTTCCTTCAACGGCTGCCTTCACGACGCTCCCGTTGGGATATAATTTTCTTCTTCATTTTGATTTAATCCAGTTCTAATCAGATTGAACTTGCTCTTTCTTGGGCTTCCTGCCAACTGGCAGGACCCTCTCTTCCTTCCCAGGGATGAGTCAGACTGACAGCTGACACGCGGATGGAAGCCTTGTCTCCTTCTGCAGTCGGGCACGGGCGGGCGTGCAGAGAGGCCCCTGCCCTCGCGCCCGCCACTCCTCCCGGGGCCGTGGGCTTGCCCTCCAGAGACAGCACCCCGCAAGTCACCCCTCACTGCAGCTCCAGGCCCCCTGACCATCTTCCTGCCAGCGCACATTTGCAGATCCTGCTCCTTCCCATGAGCGGGTTTGGGTTGCAGGGCGACCACACAGCTGAGGGCTCACTGTGGCTCTTCTGGATGACTTTGCAGAGAGTTCAAGTTCTTGTTATAAAATGGCTTCTCCTGAGCCGGGATCAGCCTGCAGTAGGGAAGGGTGATCTGGATGTAGTGTCAGATTTGCTCCTGATCTCGGGGGAGGAATGTGGAAACACACCTCTTCAAGGTTCAGAGCTCTGGGTTTGTCCCAGCTCAAAATCATTCAACGTACGTCCACCGGGCAGCGTCAGGAAGAGGGGAGCTGGGCCGTGCCTGGTCCTGACACTGCCCAGCAGAGGGGACACTGCACAGGCCGCTGGGCACCTCTGGGCTCCCTCCCTCCCCTCTGAGAGGAGAGGGCTGTGGTTGTCACGTGTGTTGATTCTACTCAGTGAATCCGTTCTGACAGCCCCCGGGTGAACCATCGCCCCTGTATGACAGCGTCACTGTGGGCCAAGGGTTGGACGTAAGTGGCCTCTCTCCATCACAGCCACCTAGAGGTCGTGCTATTTATGATCCGTGTTTGCTCAGACAGGTGATGAACGTGTAAGAACACTGGGCATCCAGCAAGCACAGAGCTGGAACCTCCAAACTTCTGCCTCGAGTGGGGTGATGGGTCGATTTCTCAGTGCTTTCCCTGATGGCTCACTATGAACACAGGGCATTTTCTTGTGTTGGACACAAACTGAAAACTCTCCCACCCTCCAGGCAGCTGACCAGGGCGTCTGTGGTCCTGTGTGTCGTTTTAACCCGGACAGAGGAGCACGTGGCAAAGGTCCGGTGTGATGGGGCCTCTCACCACCGCCCGTGGGAAGGGGTAGGGTTGGAGGCGGGGTCTGCCCTCTCCCACATCTAAGACTGATCCCGACCCCCCTGTGAGGCGGCGGCTGCAGCCAGAGGTGGGAGAGCGCTGAAGAGGCGCTTCCCTCCTCTGCCCGACTCCCCGACACTCACGTCCCCGGACGTGCAGGAAAGCCTCGAAGCAGCTGCCCTCCCCCACGTGGCAAGGTGGCCGAGTGTCACCAGGAGCCTTCAGGTGATGGCCCTGGCGTGGCTGCTGGGGGGTCCGGAGGTGGCCACCCAGGGCTGCTCGGTGCCCCGGTCACATGCTGCCTCGGCCACTTTTCAGCTTCACCTGAGTGAAGGCCGGAATTAGGTGGGCCTTACATTGGACAAAGTCGCAGGAAAGCATGATCCACGGCTGTAAACGTCTTTCAGAGAAAGACAGGGACTGGTCAGTCTGACCAGAGCCAAAGAGAAGTCGAATTTCAGTCTGTTCCGTTTCTTTGCATTGCAGCTCAAGTCCTCACGCCCTGGCCCAGGGGACACAGGGTGAGGGGGACTGAGTCGTCACTGCTAGCCTGCGGGGCCCGCGGCCGGAGAGCCCGGGCGGGTGCCCAGCTGCCAGGCTGCTGCTCGGCTGGAAAGCACCCAGGCCACAAATCTCCAATCCTGTGGCCAAGCCCTTCCCGCCCAAGGGGCCCGGCTGCTGGGGGCCCAGGAGAAGTGCCCAGCCCACCTGGACTGCTGGGGCGGGCAGGGCTGGCCGGAGGCAGGTGGGCCTGGGTACCTCCCGCCGCAGCCCACACCATTGGGCTCCCCCTCGCACGTCTGCCCTCCGCCCAGCCAGGCCAAGGACATCCCTTCGAGGCTCCCGAGGGGGACCCGAGTCCCAGGTTCATCTGAGTCAGAAAAGAACGAAGCCAGAGGAGCAGACAGAGTAAATAAAATAAATGGAAAATTCAAGACCTTTTCCTTGGTCCTGCTTACCCGCTAAGAACACCGAGAACCAAGTTAAGTACAAAAAATGACCCTATGATGATTAGTGTAACAAAATAGATCCAGGGCCAGTCCCTTCCCACGGCATCATTGACCTGGAAGAACGAATCACAGTTAGTGCAGCCCAGCGAGCAGCCGAGCACGGCCCCGCGCCCCCCGGCCCCGGGCGGGACCGGGGTCCTCTCGGTCAGTCAGCGGCCAAGCGGCCTGCCCAGCCAAGGCTCGGAATCGGTGGCCGAGTGGAGGCCTTTGGCGCTCTTCCTGGGCCTGGTGACGGATACAGAGGGCCTGGGGCCTTGCTCAGCTGCGTCGTAGAGGGGACACAGAAACCGGCAGCTTACCCGCTCAACACACCAAGAACCAGATTTAGAACGAAAAAGGATCCGAAGATGACCAGACTGACAAAATACACCCAGGGTAACTCGTAGCCCATAGCGTCCTGCATCTGGAAAGACGAAGGACAGTTAGGAGAGAGAAGCGGAGGGCGGAAGCGAGGAGGCAGGAGGCAGGCGGGGGGCGCGAGGCTGGGAGGGCCGCTGCTCCACCCGCCCGGCTCAGCGCTCGGGGCCTGTCTGGGCCGTGAGCACCGTGCGGGCCCTGCCTTGGGGTGGGGTGGGGGGGACTCTAGGCCCTCCCTGTCGCTGTTTTGCGGGGCGGAATTTTTCTCCAACGCTTTCTAGTCACATGTCTAAGAAGCTGGGTCACCTCAAGAGGTGGTTTGCTCAGTTGGGTTCATGTGGCCGTCAGGTCTCCCACCGTGCCCGGGACCCCGGCCTCAGCTCTCATGGACAAGCCGGGGGCTCGGAACCTCTGGGGACACGTGCGTGGGAAGGAGACTTCCTCGAGGGGGGACCGAGCTGCCTCGCGGCACCGCAGGCCACGGCCGGGAGGACGGGCGCTTGGGTTCACGTGTCTGGGGGACGGTCCCTGCCCTACAGCCCATCAGATTGCAGAGACGCCGTGGACGGTCTCGCGCCCCTGAGTTTCCAAACAGATGTCGCACTGGCTAAGTGCTCCAGCTTCCTGAATGGTTCATGTCAGCGTTCCTGAGGTGTGGCCCCGGAACAGCAGCGTCAGCCTCAGTGGGAGCCCAGGACCAGTCGGGACCGGCACACCCTCGCCTCGAGTTCTCACAAGCCCCTCGGCGAGTCTGACATGAGCTGATGTCGGGGACCCCTGGTTCTCGTCACCCTCTCTGCGGCCCCAGGCTCAGAAGCAACGACGTGACGGAGGCTGTGATTCCCCGCACACCTCTGGGCACCGCACACTGGCCGAGGACCCGCAGCAGAGTCGCGTGGACTCCCAGCCGCCCCAGGTGACGCCAGGTGCGCTGGCGTAGCCGGCCTGACAGGTGCCTGAGGAGGGTCAGGCGTGCTGGGACACGGGCTGCAGCCCCAGGTCGGCGGGATAGCTGGCGTCTCCTTTGAGAAGTGCCGACAGGGTGAGGTGTCACATCCCAACACGACCTTTCCAAATCTATGTGTTTATCTGGGGCTACGAGACCTTGGTTGGAGGGATCTACCCAAGGTGGCCGCAGTACAGATACCTGCCTGTGCCCTGGCCTTGGGGTCGCTGGTCTGAGCCGAGGCAGTAGGAACAGAAGGGTCCCTGACATGCCCACTTTCCAGGTCACAGTTCAACCCAATTCACGGCGAGGCTGTGGCGCATTCCCAGGGCCATGTGGCCCACCCTGTTTTCACTCGGCACTGGTCACCTTCTCACTGTGTGGTCCACTCACCATTGTGCACCGTTTGTCTCCCGGGCTGGGGGGCAAGCTGTCGGGAAATGGCCATGTGGTGTGCCCCGTGCCCCTACGTGCTTCGAGCAGCACCTCGTACAGGTGGGCCTCAGGGACGTCTGCCACGTGGACGGCGGAGTTCACAGGTGCCGGGCGCCTCGCGGCACACGGGAAGCCCTTGCCAGTCAGGGGACAGGCGAGCAGACGCCAGGTGGGGGTGCAGCTGCAGGGCTTCGGGTGCTCACGGTCACAGGCACAGAGCAGGGCCGCGGCGTGAGGCCGCGAGGCCAGCGGGGGCCAGGCTGGGCGGGACCGGGTAGACCTGGCATCAGGGGCCACCGAGGGGAGAGGGGGCCAGGCAGCAAGGCCGCTGGAGGCCAAGGGGTCCTGAGGCAGGAAGGGGTTCCAGGAACTGGCGATCGCTGGAAACAGAGCCGGTGGCGTGTGGCCATCCTCCTCTGGGCCGGGGTCTCCCGGAGGCTGAGCACTGGACACCCAGCACAGCAGCGGTCAAGAGGGGGCCAAGCTGGGTGCCTCCTTCATCAAAAGGTCTTCGTCTGAGCCAAGTCTGTGAAGGAAACCACTGTGCAGGGTGTCCGGAGACACGCTCGCTCCCAGGAGGGGAACACAAGGCTCAGGACTCAGGGGCTGTGGGTTGACGGTGCTGAGGGCCAGGGAGCCAGGCGTGTGTCGCGGGTTATGATGGGACATGACCTGACCCTTTATTCTCAGTAGCCATCACATGGAGTCTGTGTCTGTTCAACCAGGTTCACGAGTGCCTGCTGCGTACAGGACACTGTCCTGCCGCCGTGACAGCCGTGGGGGGAGCAGCCCGGGCAGGAGGAGGGCGCCCGTGGCCGCTTCTGTGGCACCCGATCCACAGTCCTCACGGTTTCTTCTCCGAGGTTCAGTCTTGCCCGTGATGGTAGGCAGTGCCCCCTCCTCCTCTGCTGGGAGGTGGGCCCTTTGGGAAGAGCTGGTGAGGCTGGATCCTCGCTTGGCAGAGACAGGCAAGTGCACACAGCACCATGGGCATCAGGCCGTGTCCCCATCACGCAGCCGCTCCACTCTACTGGGAAGCACTTCCCTGCTCGCGAGTGGGCGTGAGCAGCACAGAGGGGTCTGTCCCGGGCAGGTCCTGGCTCCTCCCCAGGTGCAGACCCCACCTTCCTGCGGAAGCCACGGCCAGCTGGCCATGGGCCACCTTGTGGAACTGCCCCCAGAGCTGGGCGGATGGGGACGGGGAGGGAGGGCTGGCGCCACTGCAGCCTCCGTGAGGGAGGTGTCTCCGGACTGCTCCTTGTGCCCTACATTTTGTGAACATTTAAGCTCACAGAAAACACAGTCCTCTGGGCCACACACCTCTGATGACTCAGGTGCCCACATGCCTCGGAGGCTTCCTGGGGCCCCTTTGCAGTTCGAGTGTCCTTTCCTCTGGGCCACATGCAGCATCACCGGGACCTCAGATGGCTGGAGCTGCAGATCTCAGACCCACAGACGGCCTCAGGGTGACCCCACGACCCCTGTATAACCTCGGGCCCCCCAGACAGCCCATGAAGAGCCAGGGTCCCGCCCAGGAGACGCACGGCCTCACAGGCCCCGTCCTACTCTCTGGTCTCTGCCTCAGCTGCGGGCTGGCCCTCTCAGAGGGTCAGGGTGGGGTGGCAGGTATGGGGAGGGGGCTTCCACGGGGGTCCTGGGGCCCCTCCACGGCCCGCTGAGCAGTGCCCAGCAGCCAGAGGAGATTCTCGGCCTGCCTGGCTCCAGCCTCTGCTTCTCTCTCACTGTTGCCTCTTTGTCCCGGGCCACCTGCTTTGGGGCCGACTGGGCAGCCAGCCTCCGTCCGGTGGCCGGGAAGTAGGTCAGCGCCCAGAGCAGTGAGACGGATGACTTCAGTCAGCGGGGACGGGGCCACTTAAAAGACAAGGATAAATAAAGCCATATTTTAAAAAATGAGCCAGATTGCTGGCCTCCTTATTTAGAGGTGAAGAAAGGACAGGTCCTCTCAAAGCGCGGACGCTGGAAGGTCCTTAGGTCCCTCCTAGGGGAGGTGCGCAGAGGGGCACCTGGCGTCCGCCGCCGGCAGCCACGGGGCCCCCGGGCCGAGACCAGCAGGGAGACAGAGCATTTGCTGGAACCCACACCCGGCTCTTCCCAGGACCCGCGCCCGGAGCTCAGGGAGCACAGAAGGCAAAGCACGGAAGGCCTTCTGAAGCCCACGTCCAATTTCTGGAGGGGAGCCACTGCCTCGAACCCTCAGACCTGGCACACACGCCTCCCCTAACAGGAGAAGCCCTGTTTCCTCAGGGCCTCCGTCTGTCCCAGCGGGCAGGCCCCCGGGAGCCTCCACGTTCAGCACCTTCTCCGCTAAGTTTCCGCTAAGGCGCAGCCCCGGGGGTCCCCGAAGTCTGGGCAGCCCGGGCTGGGTGCCAGGAGGCTGTCACCTGCCCTCAGAGGCAGGAGGTGTGAGCCCAGAGCCTTGTCGTCAGAGGGCGGGGTCTGTTCTGCCCCAAAAGCCGGGGCCCCGGGCGATGGCCTTTGTCACCTTGCCTGTGGGACACGGTCCCCCCACAGGTCACAGGGGAGCAGCGAGCGGACAGCAGGTCCTACCCGACCCCCTTCTGCCCCGGCCCTGCCGACTGACCAGGAGAGCCCAGACCGTGGCGGGGATGCCAGCAGGCCGGCCGCGAAGGAGGCCAACAAAATCAGCTCCTCCATCGACTTAAAACCTCCCTCCTAGAAACTCAGCGGGGATCCCGCACGGACGTGGGGAGTGGGGTGCAGGCCTGCGGACGCCGGTTATCCGGGGTGGGCCTCGCGGACACTTGGTGAGGACCCAGGGCCGGCCGGGCTGTTCCTGTGTGTCGAGACCCCAAAGCACGGTTCTCTCCAGTCTCCCAAAGTGTCACAAAGCTGCTTTTCCTTCTGGCCTGCTCCTGGCCCGGCTCAAGGCCAGCGAAACCCCGCCTCCTCTGGGAAGCTCTCCTTGCGCTCACTGAGCTCGGCCGTGTGCGTGCGCGTGCGTGTGTGTGCACGTGTGAGCCACGTTCCCCGGCGTGTCCCCATCTCTCCAATCAGACCCAGGCCCTTGAGCACACACCTGGGGGCACCGTCAGTGCTCACTGAATGTTTGTTAAGTTGATAATCGAGTAATCAGGACTCGTCTAACGCCAGTGAAGGGAATGGAACAAAGCCTTGTAAGTAAACAGACAATAGCTTTGATAGATGTGAATTCTCCTTCTCAACGTGTTTATAAACCACCAGTTTGCCGTGTAGGTAACCGGTTCCCTGCTCAATGCGGCAGGGCGCCAAGTGGGTGCCCCTCTCCCTGGGGCAGCAGAGTCAAGGTTAAGGGCCACAGGGAGCTGGGAGCCCAACACGCCTGCCCCCGACACCCTTCAGGGAGCCCAGGACGCGGCTTCTGGGCTGCTGGAGGACTTCCCTCAGCTCTGCGCTTCGAATGGCTCTCAGGCCATCAGCGGAACTCAGATCCCCCACCTCTGCTTGCTTGATGCCTTCAGAGGCTCATTTTCCGTATTTGTGGTGAAATGAGGTGGAAATGCAGTGGGAGAAAACAGGGTAAAACGCCTGAATTCCACCTGCTTGCATGTAAAGGACCTTGTCATTAACAAGGGGCATTTCAGCAGTGCCAAGACCAGAGACCAGAGATGGTGTGTTGTACATGTGCCCACGTGTGTGTACCTGAGTGTGCCTGTGCGTACCTGTGTGTGTACCTGTGTGTCTGTGTGCGTACACCTGTGTGTGTACCTGTGTGGGTGTCTGTGTGTGTACCTGTGTGTGTGTCTGTGTGTGCGAACCTGTACGTGTACTTGTGTCTGGGAGGAAGGTCTCCCAGGATGTCCTCACGTGTGTGTGGGGAGCTGACAACTGACTTGTGCAAAGTTAAAACCTTACACTTTCGTTCCCAAGGCCTCCAGCTAAACCCAAACTGAAGCAGAAACACCAAAGACACATCTCTCCTCTATACGCTGTCTCATTAATATTCTTTCTGATCTTATTTTTAAGCTGAATTCCTAATTTTAAAAAATCAGCAGAAGAACTGATCATGGAGAAACCAGTGGGGGAAAATGAAAGGTTTTCTCAGGAAGGAGGGGCCAGGGTGTTGGTGGAGGTGAGTCTGGGACATGGGCCAGAGGGGGCCCAGCGACCTCGGGGCTTGGATCAGAGGGCACCGTGGGCAGAGGTGGACAGCAGCCTCCGGATGGACAGCTGTCCAGGGACTGAGATTCTGAGGAGCTGGGTGCCTGGGTTTCCGCACGGCACCCACACTGGCTGCGGCCCCTTCCCAGGCCTCGCCAGGGCTCCCAACCCCAGTTCTGGGCCACGCGGCTCCGTCCCCGGGAGCAGGGCCGTCCCCAGGCTGGGCACGAAGTCAGCGCTGAGCCCTGATGCATGGATGGTGTGACCGCGGAGGGAGGACTGCTCAGACTTCAAGGCGACCCCAGCTCCAGATGGTGTCTGAGGACCTACGATTGTCCTGGTTCAGGAGCACAGCCCACAGCTCACAAGAGAGCAGTCCAGAACCACCCAGCACTGGGTCACAGCACGCCCGAACGGAGACGTGGAAACTGCGGGGGTGCTGCGAAGGGCCTCCCCTCCCGGCGCCTCGCTGCTCCGCAGGAGACGACACTTATACACGATCACCCTCTGGCTACTTCTAAGGGGTGCGGTCACTCTGACGGTAAATGGAGAGGCTTTGGCTTAAGAAGCCACTTCCCAAGGAAGTCACTCCCCCAAGCCCGAGGTCTGGCTTGGTTTCTGAGTGCCCTGTCCCACGCCTTCTCTGTCATCCACAGGCCCCTGGAACGAGCCGGGTGCGAGGTGAGGGGGTGCTGGTTCAGGCCGGTCCCAACGTGTGGCTTTACCAGCCAAGGAGACGTCCGAGGATTACTGACCAGGCCTGACTGTGCCCTTCATCCACTATCTCTTCAACATCACAAACGTGGGATGAAAACCAGAGGTAGGAGGTTCAGAGATGCCGCCCCAGGAGGAGGCTGGAGCCTGCCCCTCGCTCCGGGTCACCACCCCCACCCCTCACCGGGCGACAGCCGCTCCTCTGGGACTTTAGTGGCCTCTTCGCTCCCCAGGAGCACCTGACCAGCTTCCGGTGTCCAGTCACTGTTAGGCCTGAAATCGCAGCTGCCCTCCCCACGCCCTCCGGACTTGCGTCCTGGACTGGAGGGAAAAGCAGTCCCGAAGGGAAGACCCCACCTTCTGTGGAACCGCCTCTCAGCCGGGGCCCAGCCAGAGCACCACATGGGTTCAGTCGGGGAGACTCCAGGGCTGTCGGAGCCCGTCTCCTGGGGCCTTAAGCTGCAGGTGCGGGGCCTGACTGCGTGCTCCCGGGGCCACGGCGGGGCGGGGAGGGTGCCCTCTCCCTGTCTGGCAGGCTGTGGGTGTCATGCCAAAGCACATTGAGTTGTGAGAGTCTGTGTGCTTGGAGATGCAGGCGGAGCGGCGAGGAGGAGGAGTCCCAAAGAGGGAGGAAGGCAGAGGGAGAGGTGGCCGCAGGACAGTGACAAGCAGAGACCTGGGCCGAAAGCAGGCGCTTTGGGCTGAGAGGTGCTTCCCTCGGGGACGCTCGCGAGAGGTCCTGTTTCGGTTCCCTATGTGTGTGTGTGCGTGTGTGCGCACATGCACATGTGCACACACACGCACACACAGCACAGCTGTTACAAAAGATGCGTTAGGGTAAGTCGAGACGG